GATCTTTAATTGCTATATCCAAAAAAATAGTCTCATAAATAATGTCTCCAATAAATAATAAATGACTATCTATAACTTCTACATATACAGATGTAGTTTTTTTGACTAAAAATATTTCTTATTTCTTGATAGTCTTTGACTTAAAACAAAGTGAGACTCTAAAATCTAATAATATAAAGATTTTGTGATTTTTAGATCTTAAATATATATATATATTATAAAATAAGGTGAGAGATTTAAAAATAGAATATGACCTTTATTAAGTATTGCACATGATTTCAGTTGCATAATCTCTGTTGTAGCTGAAAAAACTTCTTTTCCAACACATTATCTTCTATAGTAATCCCGCTTCTCACTTTTTGATTGCGTTGTTTCATTGGAGAATGTTGAGTAGTGTAATTAGCTTCTCTACAATATAAGCACAAACCTGCTTAACAATATTGAGTCTTTTCTTGACCAGTGAAGGATTTAAAATGTGTTGTATTAATTTACATTGATTGCAACCTTGATAAATAAGTTTTCATGACAAATATTGTAATATAGTCCAAATTAATAAATAAAAAATCTATGATTCAAGCTCTTATTAATTTTTTCTTATAAATTAGATATATAAAACTTTTAGTTATTTTTACATAATTAGTTCTATTAATATTTTAATATTGAATCAAATAGATGAATACTTTTCTTCTATCTTATTATATTAGAATGATTGTTATATATTCATCATCTTGTCAAATTAATTATATAGTAATAATAATAGATATTACATTTATAAGAATATTCTTTTTTATATACCAAATACAAAGAAATATATTAATCTTTAAAAATAGACCTAAAATAGAAATCATTAAGATTAATTTTTTATCTATATAAAAAATGAAAAAAATCTAAAAAAGATGGTTTTTAAATATTTTTTATTTTTTTAAGTCTATCTAGTATGCAATTCTTTTTTACTACTTATTAAAAAAAAATTAAAAATTAAAAGAATTAGTTGGTAGAAGAAATTTCTATCCCATATGACAATAATATTTGAGACTTATCAAACACAATAATAATTGGAAGTGATCAAAAAAGACCTCAAAATCAATAAAAGAAATATAAGATCATAAGATCATTAAAATAAATATAATTTAAATTTTAAAATATATATATGGATAGAATATCTCAAAATTCAAAACAAGAATCTATTACTTAATAATCAAATAGAATTTATTAGTTAATAATCAAATAGTAATTGTCTCTTATAAATCCTACATTAAAATTTGTTATTTTACAAAATATAATGATTACCAACATAAAACATATTAAAGTATGTTTAAACTATTATATATATTTTTTAAAGAATAAAAATTTACAAATGTTTTTTTTGTTTATTATTATAGTTTCTCCTGAAAAACCTACTAAATCTTTTAATAAATCAAAATATACATCCATTTCTAATATTCTACCTAGATCTTCAGTATCATTACCACAAAACCCATATTCTTAATGCACAACAATGCAATTTGCTATGCAATTTTTTAAAAATCGGTAGAATATCTAAATTATTAATATTATATAGTAGTATATATAATTTTATTCAAAAAAAATTGTGTAGATGCATGAACCTCAAGTTATACAATATTAATTATTTTCATAACCTTATTTGTTTCTTTCTACGCAAAATGGCATTGCACATTTCTGCTGTCGTTTCCTTGTGTGTTTTTGATTAGCCTGGGGGGCCCTTGCCTCTTTTGACAATACCTTCCCTCACTCATTCAGCATAAATTGCCATTCAAAACCCTAATTTAACTCTAAGCAGTAATACTCACTAGTTGGATACACTTCAAGCTCAAACAGCAACTGAATCCGAACGAGGATTGTGCTCTGTACCCACTACTATCAATTCTAACGTCCACACCCTCGAATTCTCTACAGCGCTTGCATGTGCGGCCATGGCTGCGCAAGTCGAAACAACATTTACTGGCTCCGAGGGACGCCGCAAGACTCGGAGATCCGCAAGGGCTCGAACAAAACTAGATACTCCCCATTGGCGGCAAATTCTTTAAATCGAAAATGGTTTCTCCCTTTGACCATGCACGTCTTGGGAAAGGGGTAAAGAGTCAACCTGACGGCAATCCCAACGAAACCCCCGGCGTACTAAAGTCAACCGAAGATATGGCACCCTTCTTGGGAGGGGTTCTCGGGCAGGGTGGACTTGGATGGCGGGAAAGTAGCGGCAAGTAGCACCTGTCTCCCACAGCACCCTCGCCGACTCGGGCGAGGCCATCGGATGCCACGTCGGTGTGCCACGTCAAATGCCATGCTGGCGATGTGAGTTCGTTTTTTATCCGCCATGATTGCATGCAGGGTCCCGTTAGGGGGACACGGCGGGATAGTGTACCGTTGGCTGACCGACCGTTGCGAATCGCTTGGATACGACGACGATGGAACGGTTCCCCATGCGGCTCGTAGCACGGTCCAGTTACCGTTGTGCGGTTCTCTACGTTCCCGCCATGTTCTTATTCCTTGGTGACGTTGGAGCCTGGAGTTTGTGGATATGCAGCCTCTTCGAGCCTCCTTTTGTAGATTAGAATTAAAAGAAAGAAAGAAAGAAAAGGAATGGTCATTCACGAGTTTGCAATGTTTCTAGAATACCAAAACGTTCTTTATTTTTTTATTTTTTTTTTGGAAGATGGAAAGTGAGAGATATTGAGATCGTTCTGAATCAGAATACTGGCTGATTACCCAATCAGATACAAGTAGACAGGGTTGCTATTGTTGGGGAGATTGAGAAAAATTTGAAGACCGTTCAATTTTTTTTAAATGTGTGCATGTATATATCAAATTCAGGAGTACACCATTTTTTATTAAAAAAAATAAAGAGGAAGAAAATATCATGACATTCGCAATCTAATTAATATATATTACTTTTTAAGAGAGAGAAGAAGAAAAAAATAAAATAATGGTAGAGAGAGTTTTAAACAGTACTTGTACTATTTGCAAAATTACAAGAACACCCAAATACAAAGTAAATCAAAATGACAAATTAGACTGTCATGTCAACCTTGTCAATATGAGTTTGTTTTGCAGTGCTTCTCAAACTATAGCAAATCAAATAAAAGTCGAATTTTATTTAATCATCTATGTACCTGAAATTGACTGAATATTGAACACTGTTTTCTTCGGAATATTTTTACTATAATTCTTGGTCTTACATCATTTTTTCCCTGGTATCTGAAAGCACACTTACACAGACAAACATATCAAAAAAATGAATTAGAAAATGATTGGTCATGCAGATAATCAGAGCAACCTCCAATTTTTTGTGGGTGGCATTTGATGTAAGTTGCATTCACAGTTGGAACTTTATTAAACTGGATAACCAGAATATATTGCAAGATCATTCACATGACTTGGAGGAAAGGGATATGAAAAGGTCAACATTAAATTGGTGAGCCTTCAAACAAAGCCCATTGTCCATAAAAGCATACATCAATTTCAACATGTGCACCACCTTCCATAATGGGAAACACATGGAGCAGCATGCACAAATACTGGCTGTGGAGACAACCAGATTCCAAATCTGTGAAGGGGTAATATGGTTTTGGGGTTTATACAGGAGCTGGGCTCTACCCATGACAGAGAAAGCTTGGATTGGCACCATGGTAGAGTTTCAGATGGCCTGGGGGTTTGAGTTTAACAAACACAATCTACACAAAACTCTATTTAGGAACCCAATCATGGCAACAGCTCTATCTGGCTTCACTTTCCTCATTTGAAAAGGAAGCTGGAACAGAACGTTCACATCCATCCTCACATGCAAACATGCTTAGAAATGGATGAAAGAATGGAGGATGAATGTATGGATGGATGAACTACAGCTTCCATCTCAATTCTCAGGAAGCAATCCATGCAGAACAGACAGGGAAGACGTGAAGTCTTCCTTAGAATTGTCAACTCACATTCAAATTGTGGGTTACCATCAGTGGCACTTCTTCCACTCCTCTGGATTGTCAGACACAAGGCAATGCCCATTAAGAGTTTTGTGAGAGTCTCTTTGTGCCTTGGGATAGTCAATGGATGAAGAGCACAACTTCCCAAGTAAGGTCACAACTATGAGGCCATAGGGAACATGCTGGGGGCACAGGGCTCAGGATGGGGTCACATTGTATTAAGTCCCAGCTCACGGATCCCCATTGACTCCTTTCACCATCAACTCCCCCCTTTGCTGTGTCCATCCAGCTTCTCCTCACACTCTTTGCAGTTCTACAGGAGTGGCTGAAGACTCTGCACAGACCTGGCTAGTTCTTCCTTTTTGTGTGTGTGTGTGTGTGCAGTGATGGGGCAATAGGTATTGAATGTGGGATGTGACTGTGGCAGTGTTGGTGGTCTAGAGGTGTTAACTCCCAACTACCTTGATGTAAGCATCCCATTACCAAGTACTGCCCAAAGGTTTGAATGTCCCTTGGACCCTATGGCCAAGGGATAGGCACATTGAAGAAGGAAGCATTCCTAACAAAGACGGATGAAACCACAAGAAAACGGATGAAAAAGATGAAAAGTAGCAAAACATAGCACCTGAACCCATTATTTGAGATCATTATTAAGGTGAATTAGGTCTCCTTTGCTTGAATCCGGAGCTAGGGACTCAGAGTGTGTAAAAAACATGACTGAACTCCAATAAACTTTCAACGACCCTTCTTCAGGTTGTAGACACCCCCTCTTGGCAGCTTCAAGCTGAGCTGAAGTGCCACATGCGAATATGGGTAATGAAGTATTTATTCCATGAGAAAAATTAGAGGGGGGAGTTGATTGGACTAAGCACATGAATTGAATGAATTGCCCTCTTTCGTGGGCAATGAATTCCTGAAAATGCTTCCGTTGCCAAAGATAACCTCCCTACACTCAATCAGCCCAATCAAGAGGACACGAATGACAATGATTTTCTATTACTCTGAACAAACGTCACCTAAGCTAAGAAAAGGAGGGAATGAGTGAGGGGAACAAGGGGAGCGAGAGTGGGAACACCTTCGAGGAACGTCGTCCTGGCTGCGGTGCGCTTTAGGAATGCGAAGGAAGGAGCAAGTTGGAGGAGGCACCGGGACACTCTTCATGAAGCCCTCCGCGATTGGAAAATCACCCCGATCTGCAGTCAATCCGTCAGTTTCTCCAGGGGGCCTCCGCGAGCGATTGCGGGAGTGTTTCCAGGGCCGCATTCTTGCTCCAGGATTCCGTTCACGCACGTAGTTTCCCCCGAGTTTTTCTCGATTTCTCTCCCGTTTTCTTCATTCAGGTGGATTTTCGATTGTTTTATCCAACTACACATCGGCTGTCGATGTCGCAATCTGTGCAATGCCGGTTGTTGTGTGTGTGTCGTCCCGGATTTTCACTGCGTTGGTTGCAAGCTCCATAGGGTTGAGATTTGAAGTGCGCGTGTGGCAGTGCGAGAATGTGAAGAGTTGGGGAATTTTCTTGGTCGAGGTGGTGTGATGGTGACATACTCTTCACCACGATCGTGTGTTTATGGAGGGATACCGTTGCTGCTACCCTTCGTTTCGTTTCTCCTCTGTTACCGCTGCATTTTTCCTCAGAGGCGGTATTTTGCGGTGAAGCGGATTTTTCGTTTTGGGGGCCTTGTCTCTTGAAGCAATCGTGGCTCGCAGTGCTTATTGTGTAGCCAGCGAGTTCTTCTCGGTTCGAATTATTCTTTGTCTTCATGAATCGGGGCAGTCGTCAGTGCAGTAGCAGATGGTGCTGGTTTCTCGCGAATTTGGACTGAATGTTTGTTGGCCTCGATTTAACTGGATGACGGGTAATTTGAGACACCGTTGTTGTTCGTGGAGTCGCGGGGCCTGCACGTGTGTCTCTTGTGCACTGCGCTTTCCTCTCGTGACTTAGACTAGGGTTTTAGTGTATCTTTATATGAAGGTGTAGTGTGAGAACGTGTGCGATGGCATGTTGATTGGCAATGTTGTTTTGTGATTGGCGAATTTCTTTCGAAGGGTGAGCTCGTCGTGATTCCGGATGACTGATGTCCGAAGCCCTTGCGCTCCTTAATATAACATTTGTTCTGCAGTCGAAGCTCCGCTTAGTTCTGGTCCTTAATAACCACGCTTCCACTGTGGTTGCGGTGCCACTTTCAATTTGCATCGCATCTGCTGGTTCCTCTTAATAACCGAAAGGATTCCCTACCTTGGATGTCCCAATCTATGTCCAATCTTCGAGTAACACTGGGTGGTCTTTTCTTTTTACCGGAGATCGAACTCTCGCTGTCTCATCTCTATCCTGCTTCGTCCATTGGATCTTGCAAGTTTCTTGCCGTCAATTGTGCCCTTTCCCTTTTCCACAGCGGCTAGCCGTTTCAGTGACGTCGTCCGTCTTGGGTTTTGGGTATTTTTCAGAGATGGTCACCAGACAAAAACAACGCGGTATCGTCATGGTTCCTCTTCTGTAAACTTATGGCCGAACTGACATACTATCGTTACATTTGGCACGTCTTCCCTTAGACGTGAAATAGGGATGATGACGAGTAGTTATCTATATTTATAGTGGTACCCATCATGCGGACTAGATTTTCATGTGGCGCGGAGTTTGTTAAATAATTGTGCGAATGGTTCATCCAAATCTGCTGAATTTTGTTGAAGCTAGGCTTTGGCAGGTGTCTAGTTAGTCTGGGAGCAATCGCATGTAAATGATGAAAATAATATCAGTTGCCGTTAACACAGCTATCTCTTAAAAGATCACCGTTTCTTGGTCTGTCTTCTCTTAGTCTTGCTTTCTCAAATTTGTACGAGCCACTGTGCGCAAATTATGTCTAGGCCCAATGACTTAAGTATCGCGGACAGGAGTGTGGGCGTCATTAACTCGTCGCACTCTCCATTGCTTCAGAAGTGTATCTACAGGGCGCTTTAGCTTTTGTGAAAAGAGACTTATCGTTTCCTTTCACTTGAATCCTGAAAGATTAAAGAGGAAAGCTCTGAATGCAGATAGCTGCTTTTTACACACGTCACAAACACCTCATTACCACCTCTTGATTTTCTTCAAACTTCTAAACCGTTGTCAAATGCCGTGAAATCTGTCCAGGCCGAGGAGTTGGATGTCTTACCGAAGGATGGTCCGAGCAGATTATTGGCTTGTGATTGCTGCACTGAACTTCTTCACCAATTTCGCCTAGTGAAGGTTACTTGTGCGCTACCTATCTCTAGCTGTGACCCATCACGTCAGTGAGGGAGATGCCCGCTTTAGTGGCTCGCCAGGGAGCCACAAGCCCAGGCGGTAACAAAATCCGAAATCGGGAGACTCCTTGTAGGAAAGAAAGCTTATTAGGAATTGACAACACTCGACGAGGCTCGCCCCAAGGTTACAGAGACAGTAAGGAAACAAAAGCTCCCAAAACCACAGACATCACAGGAGTAGAGAATCGAACTACTTCGAAATCACTTCTCCTCCTCAAGGAAAGGGTTAGCCGCCTTGGAGGTGCGGTAGGCACTGGCATCGGCGATGGATTCAACGCATCACCAAGAGTACAAGAGGTCCAGTCACAGCAAGGATCAGTGGGTTACCCGGCGTCAAGGCTGAATCGCCAAGCTTCTCAGAAAGAATCCAAGTTGAGGTTGCATACTATTCAGCGGAAGATTCTGGAGCTGCAGGAAAATGGAGACTCCTCACCCGTCGTAAGGTGTCCTGCAACCTATAGCCCCCAGTTTCTTGGAGCGTATAATTGGGCGAAGGAATCAGAGGCTCTCCTCAAACAGGAAATGGCCATGATGGACGCCTGCAAATCTACTCTGGAACAGAGACATCTGAATCAATCAAATACTTCTCACTACAGTTCTAATTTGCCTAGGTAAGCTCTAGGTGTCAGCTCCTGGTCTTCGTAAACGCTTCACCTGTACTATTTTTTTTAGCTGTAATGGGTTGGTTAAACAATAGTTGGAATGAGTTTGTCTTCATCAATCCTGTGCTGGAGTGGCATTGAAGATGACATTGGATGTTTGGGTATTGATTGGCCAGATTCTCTGCTGCGAATACTCCGGCGACAACGCGTACGAATTCTCCTTCAACGGCTTCGCTCAGGAAAGACTCAAGGTCTAGGACTTTGAAGACTCGCCCGTCAACTGGTGATGAATTAGAATCAGCATGTGATGCGGGAGGAGCTGCTGACACTCGCATAATGGTTTACGTACGGGCCCGACCATTATCCAAGAAAGAGAAAGAAGCAGGATCTCGCAGCTGCGTGCGTATTGTAAACAAGAGAGATGTGTACCTAACAGAGTTTGCATTGGAGACGGACTATTTGCGGCTCAAGCGCGTGCGCGGTCGGCATTTCGCATTTGATGCCTCCTTTCCAGATAGCACTTCTCAGCAAGAGGTTTACAACACAAGGTAACATCTGAGTGCCACGATTTGTTTTGCGCTACTGCATTTTTCGACCACTCTGGTAAACCTGACTCTAAACCACCTACTATGTCCTTATGAATATGATATCATCGTGGACTTAAATGGTTCTTGGAATCCAATCAGTCCAGCCTACTGGTCTTCTTTGAAGGTTACAGATACTGATACGTTTCTTTTTTGAACACTCAGCACTGCCCAACTCGTGGAAGGAGTACTGCAAGGGAGGAACGGATCAGTATTTTGTTACGGTGCCACTGGTGCTGGAAAGACGCACACAATGTTAGGGACCCTCCAAAGTCCAGGAGTCATGGTTTTGGCTTTGAAGGACCTATTCGCTAAAATCAAGCAACGCAGCAAGGACGGAGACCATGTAGTACGGCTCTCGTATCTTGAAGTGTACAATGAAACTGTCCGTGATCTTCTCTCCCCTGGCCGACCTCTTGTCCTCAGAGAGGATTCCAAGCAGGTACATTGACCACCCTCCTGCATGTTTCGTCATCTATGCATGCATCATGATATGGCATGTAATGCAACTACGGACATTTATTGGTTTAGTTCTCAAAAGTCGATATGACGGAAAGCTAACATACTTTTCTATTTACTCTTTCGTGATTTCGTCCAGACTAAAGTGACCTTGTATATTTTTCGTGAAGCATGGCAATCTTGCGTTTCTCTGAAGTTGAAGTCTGGTGTCGTGCGGATGTTTTACAGAGTCGATCTGATGATCTGATGAGTTACTTTTCCAATGTTCGCAGGGAATTGTCGCAGCTGGCTTGACGCAATATCAGGCATACTCAGCTGATGAGGTAATCGGCTCTGTACGAACAACTGCTTTATTTGGGAAGGCTTCATTTGCTTTGTGATATAACTCACTAGTAATTGTAACAGGTCATTCACTTGCTGCAACGGGGCAACCTCAATAGGACCACGGAGCCCACTCGTGTTAATGAGACTTCATCCCGATCTCATGCAATCTTACAGGTCAGAGTTTAGCTACCCTTGCTCAGTGACTGAAATTTTTCCGATGTTTATTTTTCTACCTTGTTACTTAGACGTAGTTCTCATCATGTCTTCAATTCGTGGTACCGGAGATGTATATATCATAAACTAGTATGTACGTTCCTTGACTAAACCTGGATGCGTGCTATTTCCAGTCCTCATCGTCGGAGTTGTGCAGGTTGTCGCGGAGTACAAATTACAGCAGGAGACAGGTGTAACTGTGCGGGTGGGTAAGCTTTCTTTGATTGACCTGGCTGGGTCAGAGCGTGCTCTGGCTACTGACCAACGAACCCTTCGGTCAGTTGAAGGCGCTAGTATCAATCGATCTCTGCTTGCCTTGAGCAGTTGCATCAATGCCCTCTGCGAAGGGAAAAAACATATCCCGTTTAGGAATTCCAAGCTTACCCAACTTCTAAAGGTAGGCTTTTTTAGTTGATCAAAATTAAATTAAATGTTGTAAAATGATTAACTAATGTAATGAAGTATCGTGAAGTTTCCCTTGGTCCTTCGTCTGATGTCCTACATGCCTCGCATGCTATAGAGTAGTCGGCTACCTCCTAGTGCTCCGCATGATAAGTGAGTGAAAGGAGTGTAATTGCTATAGAGCCGAGTATATTAAGCGCTTGGGTTTGCATTGGATAGGCTAAGCTTTTGAATAACTTATGAACTATCGTAAGTTTTTATGTTGCCGTGATTAATAGATGACTAGAGTAGTCACAGTCAAAGGTTGGCATGATAAGTGAACATGGGAGTGTACCTGAATGTCGGTTGAATGCTGGTGTCTGTAGGATTCGCTGGGAGGGTCTTGTAGAACTGCTATGATAGCTAATATTAGCCTCAGCGATGCTTCATTTGGAGAAACTCAAAATACTCTTCATTGGGCTGATAGAGCGAAGGAGATCCGGACCAAGGTGAGTTTCAACTATTGACAGTTATACAATCAACAAACGGACTTTGAGTACATGAATGCTTCCTATGTTGTGTCATATCAAAATATGTACTCGCCGTACTTACTGTTTTCCTTGTGGGTGTACCTTCCTCTCGTGAAAGATGTCACCAAAAACCCAATGAGAAGTCATGAGCTTAGACCTTAATTTTTATTTGGAGAATAGCTCCAGATGTAATCAGAAAATCGTCTAATTTTTAAAATAGTTCTAACAAATGCGATAACCTAATTATTAACTTTCAAGGGCTGAATTTGAATTGAGAATTCTGAGGTGCAACGTTGTGATAACAGTCTGGTGAAACAAACGAAGAGATGAGTATCTCAGAAACATCGGAAGACCAGACGAAGCAGATAGCAGAAATGCAAGTCGCGAATCAGCAGTTGCGTTTTCAATTAGCTCGTTTGCAGCAAAAGTTTGCCCTTGTACAGCAAAGTCTTCCATCAGCAATGACAACACCGTCACGGATATCTGCAAACTGTGAGTCGAGACCAATGTTGGAGCCGGATTATCCCTTGACCTCGCAAACTGTTACCTCTCCACCTTTCCAGTATTCTTCGGGACCTGCAGATCCAGAACAGGTACATCTTTTGATCTTGTTATCATGTACTTGGACATGTATTGGACTTACGTTCTCTGTATTCCTTACAGCTCATTGGTGTCGATACATGCTGTGAACATCTATTCTTCATCATCTGCGTTCAATTTTAGCTGTGATCCAGTGTCGCATTGGAGTGACGCATTTGGGTCCTTGAAGTGATCTGGGATTTCTTCATAAGTGCTATATTGAATCCGAAGATAAAAATGTGCCTGCAGGGGAAAACTCCTGGCTTTCACAGCTCATTAAGTGAGCAGGAGTTTCCTGAAAGGGTCACTGCGGAGCGGACAATTCGGGACCTTCAACGCACCATTCAGCTGCTGGAGATGGAAGTGGAGCAAACCAAGCAAGAGCTTGTGAGGAGGCATGAAAAGCACACTGCTGCTATAGCCCTTCTTAAACAAGAGCACGCTATCGAGGTTAAGACAAAGGATGAGATCATCGAAAAGCTCTCTCAAAGGTCAGTGCGTGAGCCAGAGACCTCGCCATTGTTGCAGTCGAAAAAGCTTTTCTTGAGCGCTTCGAAAGAGCCTCGCTCTGCCGTTACCACACACAAAACAGTGTCGAGGTTAACTTTTGGCCCAGAAGCCACCTCCAGGAACCCAATAGCTATAGAGACGATATACTCTGCCCCGGTGACTAAGCCAGCCTTATCAGAAAATTCTGCCACTGTCTCAACTCCTATTGCGCCAGCTCAGGCGATCACTAAGAGGTCAGAGGTCAGCCCACTTAGACCAGTCTCCAAAACTTTACCCCCTGTACAAGACGAAAATTTGTCAACAACCATACCCGTGAGGTCAATCATGTCACAAACGATGGCTGAGTTGAGAAGGCAGGACATGATCTCAAAGAATGCCTTGCCTGTAGTGTTTGCAGCGAGTGGCGGGGAACAGGGCGCAGCAAGGAGAGTCGGTCTACGGCCGTTTAGACACTCCTCGAATAATATTTCATCCCAGCTGCCGCCGATGAGGCAAGCAGTAAAGGAGCCTCGTCCTCGGGCTGTTGACCCTGCACCTAGGAGGATGAGCATATCACACCAGCCTCCACGGAGCCCACCGCTTCCAAGGTTTTTTTCCCCTTCTAAGCCATGCCCCCAGACGTCAAGGCCATTAGCATGTAGCACTAGGAAAAGGAGCTTTTGGGATATTACGAATACAAACAGTCCACCAGCGGCTCCGCTCACCAGGGCTGCAAGACGGCTAAGTGTAGCAGCACCAAGCAATACACCGTCACTGCTTCTTCAGGTACCTCCCACTGTCCCTATAGGCGATGCCTTTGATTCGTTCTGGAATTCTTTAGTCAGGAATGCGCGGTTAAGCAATGCGATCTATCAGAAAATTAAGGCGGACTTTTATGTTTGTGTAGGTGCTCTTGAGCAGTGAGAGGTCATACTGGGCTGAGTTTGAAGACTTCAATTACTGTTAACATGCGGAGTGAACTGACTACAAAATTGATTCTTAACAAATTATTTGGTCGTTGGTTCCCCAGCCTGGATTTGCCCGTCGACAATCTCGGGGGTGATGTCATGCGTCAGTCAACCCCATTGTTCGCCACCGAGATCGAAGGTTTGCAGTGAGCAAATCATCGAGTACAGGTTTGTGGGAGATGTTTATTCCAAGGATGACTGATGAGGAGTTTCCATCTTACTCCCTCAGCTTCTCCCGAGTGCCATGCCATCCGAAGTAAACAGGCAGATATCATTGACGCTCATGTACTATAGATTCTTCATGCCTGGAGTGTCGAGCTATAGCAAAAACTGTCCATATTGATACCATGTATTATTACCTCAGATTTTGTTGAGTTGGCTCACCAGATCATTGACCTTGGTTCTACAATTACAAATTCATGCCACCGATGAGATGGTGCTATTGTTCCATTCAGCCTGGCAAGGCATTTTGTGGCAGCTTTTTGTTTTGGTCAAACGAGCCCAGTCATAGCTTGTGAGTTTTCAAAAACCAATTCTTTTGAGTAAATTAGCTCCAACAACAATGCGGAAGTTTCCTAAAGGTATTCCTGGATGCTATATTCCTTCTGTATGATGCCCTTTGCTGAAAGCAATTTAAATCTGCTCGTGTTTGTGAACAAGTATGCGTCATTAACATTTGTATCTGTAATCGAGAATTAGTTTAACACGGAATATGCATTCATAGTCACTTTCTTGCAGTAGTGCAATATGTAAGCTGAATTGATAGAAATGATCTGCCCTCTTGAAAGTGATTGATCCGTGCACTTCCGAAGATGCCACTGAGCGAAGGAATTGTATGCCAACTGCTTAACGAAATGTGCTACACAGGAAAGAACAATCAGGTCCAGATCTTCGTCAACATAGAAGTTTATGAATGAACAGGCAGTGAATAGCATGTTGCACTGTTCCAACTCACAAACAGTAACCACGATAACACATATGTGATGTAGTAGAAAGTTGAAGATGGTTTACCAGCTCTGAACGTTGTACATGTTAAGTTGGAAACTTTTTATTATAGTGGAAGACGTATTTTAAAAATATGTCCTAATTCATTTCTTAAAAATAGCTGAATATTAATATAAAAATAATAAAAGATTAAAACGTAATAATTGCATTATGTCATATTCTAACATCGACAATTGATATGACAGGTTGATTTGATTGTAGATTTGATTGCAGATTCAAACCTTGGTGTTATTGAGAGGTTCAGTTTGTCTTTTTTATATATATAATGCTTAATACATGTGTGATTTATTAATTTTAAATACTGCATCAGGACTTAGACTTAAACCCTCATGAGATTGCAATGCCATGCTCAAGGAAAAAGATTTTAGACCATTATTGAAAGAGCCTAGGAATACTACAAAACTTCTAAGTGATGTTATGCTCTTCTAGTGACATCTAGTTTAGTTGTACCTTCTAAAATGTTGCATCAAGTGGCTAATCATGAGCAAAGAGTCATGATAAGTCAATTCAATGATGAGTGACAAAGAACTTTAAAATGTGTAGAAAGAACTTGAGGAAATAAAAATTAAAACAAAAACAAAGCTTGAAATAGTTCAAAAAGTTAAAAGAAATTTGAGAAAAACAAGTGGCAACCATCACCTCAGAGGTGGTGGAAACAAATCTAAATATGGAAACATGTAATTTGACACCCGTAAAAGTAATTGTGTTACTAGAGGATTTATGATTTTTGCCATAAAAACCAGTGGGTTCTAGAACTGACCAAAATGCATCCAACATGCTTTGATGTGCATAGAACCATGTCTACACTAAACTGTAGTGTGATATCATCCCCTACCTTCCAGGCAACCCATGGCACCACATCTTACTCTCATCAACCTTAAGCTACAAATATATTCAGACGTACCTAAAAACAAATGCAGACCTATCTTGATTTGGAAAACCATCTACTGTGAACGTGCATCCTCTTAAAGTAGTTTCAAACTTTCCCCACCACACTACTGAAATCAAAGTGGTAGCAATAAATAGCTCGATATCTGTCCAAATTTAATTCTAGCTTTGATAACGACAACAAATGCATGATCCACAGCGGATATTCTAGCAATTAAAGCAAACTTTTCTTTGCCATATCGTGGTCACAGTAATCGCCTCTGGACCCTTACATCTAATTCCAACCAACACTCCCAAATTTCTGTGCAATGGAACTGCATCACTTCTGTTGAAGAGGCTGTCGGCCACATGCAAGTATTGCTGACAACAAACGACTATACTTAGACCTAACGTCGTTTCTTTCACATAAAAAAAAATGAAAATAAAAACAAAGATGGAGGCAATGAACATGAGCAATGGATAACAGGATGTTCGATATCAGTAGTGTTATATACACTTGTTATTGACTCAGAAGCGAAGGGCTGGTGCTTCGCAGAAAGAATGAATTTCAGGTCAGTAATAAATCTCTGTAAAAGGAACGAGAACCAACTTTTCCACTCATTAGCCAAAGTTGCATCCCACTATTTTCTACAAAATCTTTGCTCTAGACACCGCGCCTAGATAAAGGTTCTCCGGAAGACTAAGAATCATCATTCGAATATGAGAAAACCAATTATTCAAGTCAGCATGTTGACGTAGGCAGCGGCTATCATGAGATTCATGCCATCATTTTCCGGCTATCATGAGAGCCACTAATTTTATCCTCCAAGTTCAATGCAGATAAAAGTCGTGGCCAGGTTTCAGGGATTCCTCCAGCGACGTCAAAGTTAAGCAAAAGGCCTTTGGCGCGGTAGTAATCTTCAACAGGTTGACTCTGCAATCACAAAGGACAAATCAGTTTCTCTGATATCTGCGCACTGTGTTTCTAGGCTTCTAGGCTCTTGACATTTGCACACTACTTTCCTTAATTACAACTAGTAGAAGAGCCATCCCACAACGTAGACAAAGTCATACGAACCGTCGCCAGCTATATAAACAATCAAGTGATAAAACGAGACATTTAGAGGCAGAAAAAGCCTCAACGTATCCTTTGCAGTGAGCATGAACCCTCCGTTGCGAATCATCCAGAAACTAAACGATGGATTACTCATTTGCTGACCCCTCAGCTGACACACAGATAGTAATCTAGATTGGTTAATAATGAATCGTACAGGAAAAATTTGGAGCACAAAAGAATGTCAAAAATACCTCTTCATAGTAAATGCGGAGCCTAGCCCGCACAACATCTTCAGTATCGTCAGCTCGGATTGTCATCTTTGAGGCACACTTTGGAGGGGGTAGTAGAGGTGGCATAAGTATGCGGGGAACGCTATCATAGCCATCAACGTCAATCGAAGCGACGTTGAAATTACCCCCGCACTCGCTGCATATGCGTCTCCCAAGACATTTACTAATCAATACATCTTCACGTAATTTTAAGTTCACCACTAAGTCTATGCTGGCGACTTCATCCATGATCTCCTGTACACATTTACAAGATCCATTCCATTCATCACCTTGTTTGAACATCACACAGAAGTAATTAATCACTCGAGGTCTATCTAACTTGGTCAAATAGTCCAGCATTAGACGCATACTGAAATTTACACTTTCACAAATGTATTATGACTGCTTCGTGAACATGTAAAATGCTACTTTTGTGCATGATTACCAATCCAAAGAAGCTTACATTATTCTTTAGGCAGAAAGCAGAACAGGAACAAGTATGGCACTTACAGCCTGGTGCACGGTTCGAGGGAATCCATCCAGAATGAAACCAGTTTCCCCTTCGGAGGCGCCGTTTTCAAGCCGCTTTGTTAGAAGCCTGAATATAATTTCATCTGGGAGCAGTTGCCCAGCGCCCATAATTTTCTTAAGCTGCGCATATCAGGAGTTCCAGATTAGGAGAATACTCAAACCAATGCATATGCAAAGCTGTTGTGTATATTACGATCACAAAATTCACTGGTGCTGCAAGTTTCCTCTAGATCACTATCCAAACAGTAGATGCAACCTACCAACCTATCCTTGCCACATACTACTGCTGATGATGAAGGTACTACAATGAACAGGTGATCAATTTTCAAACAGTCACAATACCCTAACACCAATCCGTGTTAACCAAACACCTACGCTCGGAAACTAACATGGAAAACTCACGATGTATGCCAATATAGAACAGAGAAGCAAGAGGAGAAAAGCAAACCTGCTCCGCCATGGGGGTTAGATTTAAAATCTCTCGTCGCACTAGATCGCCCATTGCAATGTGAGGCACGTGCAACAACTTCGCCAGACGACTGGCATAGGTACCTTTCCCCACGCCAGGACAACCCAAAAACACCCATTGCACACCACGATCTACCTCCTGCGAATGCACGACCTCCACCGGCACACTCGGTCCCTGCTCGCGTTCACGCCACCCTTCCACATCCATGGACGCCCGAGCAGCAGTCCCCATGGGGCGCACCCACGATGTTCTCAAGCCGTGCACCCCAAACCGCATCATCGTACGCAGGCGGCTCACTGCCGCCACCATATCTAATCCTCACAAACTCAATCCTGTGCACCCTCTGCCAATTCTCCAACCCTTGCAATTCTTTCCAAAACTATCAAAACCTCACAACCCACAACGAGAAGAAAGTAAAAAACCCACTAGCCAACCAACCCACCTCTGCAAGATATCGTGGAGATTTATAGGGCACGCAAACAAGAGTGCATGCGTAGGCGTGTCCTGATGAAAATACAACGGCCGACAACAAGCATGGGGCCAGAGATAGCAGCGTAGTTGCAAAACTAAACGTCGAAGTGCGAAATATTTTTTAAGGGGACGGGGGGGGAGGATGAATGGAATAGCCCCAGAACGGTTTTGGGAATGCTGCTGTGCGATGGCGGAGCAACCTCGCGGGGCTGGGCGTGCGAAGCAACACACCACCATAGCCTGGACCCACTGCAGACGAGCACCACGCCTCAGTTGCTGCTATAGCCGCCGATTGACGCCGGTTGACGCTGACCACCGACCAACGCATCGCGGGTTTGGACGAACCCACCCACCAACCCGAACTCACGCGTAAAATAGATTCTTCCCGTTTTGGTAGGTCTGCCTATATGGATGAATGGGTGTCCGTGGATGAATGGGTGTATAGATGAATGAACGTCTTTGGAACCACGTTGTGCTCTACCTTCATTTAGTTTTTTTTTGCTCCTTCTCGTTTAATCAAGCTCATGTTTCTTATTCATTTTTCATTATAATTCATTTTTAAATAATAATGTAAAAACTTTACCTATGGTTTTTTGGTTATAGATTTTATAGTACTTCAAGTAGTAAAAAATGTAATTTTTTCAAATCGATATCATATTTTTTTAAATGTATATATAAAAAAAATTCAGAAAAAATCTTAACATACCAATTATCTTAGTTTTTGTGATGTAATTTATATATATATATATATATATATATATATATGACTTTGTAAAATAAGAGAGAAACTATAACATGTTTTGTGTTTAATGTCTTGTAAACGAAGATCATTACACACAATACATCAAGTGCCACCAACTAATCATAAAGTATGAAATCCAAAACAAATACAAATGCACATCCAACACACTTTCAAGAGAAAGATTAGAAATCTACACCAAACTAAGTCAAGCTATTTCTCATACTACAAAGGAGGAATCCAAAAGTGTAAGTATGAAAATAAGAGAAACCCTAAAGCTTTACTAAATGGCTAAAACACCATACCTAAGCAAATCTTTAAAACAAGTTTTCTCACTTTCAAAATTACTCACAAGACTTGACTTAATAAGAATGTCAAGTCAAGGATTTTTTTTCTACTTAAGTACTCAAATTCTAATCGACATAAAAAAATCAACTAATGAAAAAACTACCAATGGATAATAAACCACTAACTAAACTAAATTATATGTATTCGACATGATTTGGCACCCAATGCCATATCACATGATAGTTGTCATATAAAAAAAGATCATTATATACAATACATTGAGTGCCACCAACTAATCATAAAGTATGAAATCCAAAACAAATATAAATGTACATCCAATACATTGTCAAATGTCTCCTTTCCTCCCCCTCCTAGTTGATTAGGAGCCCCTGTATTCAATTAGGACTACAAACACACATTGTTGAAGATGAACACCACCATAATATAAATGCTATATACATAATAACTATACTCCTTCAAATTTAGTATTGTAGCAATTAGATAATTGAAGTGTGTGATACACACAATAGAAAAAATCTTCAATCTTTATCAAGAGATGAGACATACCTAGAAGACTTCTTATAACGAGGACAAATCCAATCTCTTGATGGGAAGGTCAAAAGATGTGGTGTCAAACATGCCATATGCCATCCATATTGACATCAATCACAAAAAAATATTGTAGCAGCCTTTTTCTTTTCACCACATATAAAACAAGCAAGGCCAATTGGCACAACTACCAATTCAAGATATATAGAGTCATCTATATGAAGATGACAAAGAGAATAATTCTTTGAATGTTCTCAACATTCTTATCCATACTTGCTTTCTAACAACAAAATACCACTAAGCAAATACATTCTCTACTTATAGAATTATGCACCTTGCCTTAACATCAAGTATTGTTGGTACCTCACATTACAAATATACATAATTTTCTTTAAAAAATCTTTGCAATTGAGGTTGATAAGTTGTACTATAAATATCAACATATTACAAAGTGCCACAATGTTGAGGAATAGATAAGTTTTTTATAACCATAAGCATGGCATATTTAAAGAACTTTATTCGTTCATGTAGACATTGAGTCCAAACATCAGGATCATTTAGATCTATAATTGGAGCTAGCTTTTCACGTATTGAGCTGGATAGAATTAGCTCCTATCTATACAACAACTGATATGGACTATAAGCTGCCAAAGATGTTTTTGTTTGAAGCAATAACTCATTGCAATCTATGGCAATAACAAGTCTCAATCACAATGGTTGCCATGAAATAATACATACTTTTGTAACTTATATTTGACAGTGTGAACAATCTGTTCAACTAGGCAATGTATCTTAAGATGATTTCTAAATGCGGTACAATGATGTATCAAAGCTTTAGTACATAAAGCTTCAAAACTTCTAAAAAACTCTCTTCTTTGATTTATTAAGACTTTAGTAGGTGCTTCAAAACGTGAGAACATTCAATCAAAAAAATCCATAGCTACCAATTTTGAAGGATTTTATAATAAAGCCACAAGTTTGATCTACTTGCTAAAATGTTCTACCATCACCACATGAAGTAACAGCAAGTGGTCTAGCAAAGTCCAAAAATCAACGATAATCAAAGTCTATAATAAGTAAAAACTTCAACTAAGATGATAAAGTATTAAAGCTTGATCTAACTCAATCACATACTTCATATCAAGAAACATATGTGGCCATGTGTTGATACAAACCACTTCACTAATATTGATTACGTAATATAGAATATATTATGCTCATTCCAAAATGTCCAAATTCTTCATATACTTGGCATATTAAAGAGGCTCTTTGATCTGACCTTGAAACTATCTACTTAGCTCCATCAAATTTTAAATAAAATAACAAATTTTTCTTGCAATAAAATCTTGTTATTCGATGGCTAGTCCTATCTCTTTTCAGATTAGAAACAATTGAAGGAAATATTTCCTATTGAAGCTTATGCAAGTCTATAAGATCTTTCCACACATGGCTAATTACTTGATTCTTCTTCAATTCTTCATCTAAATTGTGGTCAAGAATCATGGTTGCACAATTTGATATTAAAATCAAGTATGTAGCTTCATACCATCTAAGAACTACTTCTTGATCATAATTTCCATCCCATCAAGCTCCAATTAAGTCTTCTTTTGAAGAACATGGATTAGAATCAATTTGTTCTTTTAGCCCTTAGATAGTTTGTATCTTCCAAAGATGTATCAACTTCTCCTTGGATTTGATCTTTTTTCTTCACCATAGGCTTAAAGCTTGAAATATCACACTCCTTAAGAACTAAAATAAGCTTGATGTGTGTCTCCCAATAATATTCTACTTCATCAACTCAAGTAAGTATTTTTCACTCTATTTTCCATAAGTTTGGAGTGCCTTCTGCTCCAAGTGTTGTAGTAAGAGTTCAAAGGCATACTACTCATTGAAAGTGGGAGACTTTTGACGCTTCTCCTTTATCCATGTTTGAAACTTAAGTTTCTAATTTGGTAAAGAAATGCCTTCAATTCTTTTTAAAAATATATCTTTCACCATATTACGAGGATCATCTTCCATCTTATAAAATGTATCCACCTCCAAGATTCAAAATCTTTATGTAATATCTAATGTTGAAATAGGGTGAAAATCCTTGTTAGTATCTACTCTTGGTCTGAAGTCCTCAATGTGGTTACTATCTAAGTAGTCTAATGAAAGAAATCAATAATATCAATTTCTTATATACACCATAAAAAGACTACTTAGATACCTGCAACTATCTAAGGGCTAAAAGAACAACTTGTACTTCCAAAAACCACCAAGCTTTGTAATTATCTAATAATCACTTTCAGATTACTAAAGATTCCATATATCTATAAGTAGAAGGATGTCATTAACCATCAATTCAACTTCATTCCTATAGTATGCCTATCAACACAAACTAGTACAATTACAAAATGGGATAACCATGGAAAACCTTCGAGAATAATACTCGCAACTAGAAAAAGGTGTCAAAAATGAAATCCAAAAATTTATACCAAATCCTCATTCTTAACAACATTTAAGTAAAAATCAAAGGTGAATCAGAACAACTAACACTCACTTACAGTTGATGGTCACAAATCACAAAATTTAAGATAGTAAAAGATAATTGAAATAAAATAAAATGTAAAAAAGTGAGAAAATTAAAAACTCACTTAGAAAGAAACCGACATTTAATAATGCCACCTTAACATTCCAAATGACCTCCAATTCAAAAATTGAGTATGATAATAAATTCTTTAGGCCTCTTTTATATAAAATTGACTAAAAAATAATCAAATTTGGACTCCATATGCACTTAGAGAGCGCTTCCAAACATAATATATAAAAGTTTTGGATATTTATTTATTTATTTATTTTTAATATCTTATAACCACGTAATGATTGTGAAACTATTACTATTGGATCTATCACCATAAGGGCCCTATGACTGTAGGTCCTATCACTGTGTACCTATGATTGCAAAGGGTCTTGTTACCATAGTCATACCGCATGATTTACAATCTGAGAATACATGGAATATCTAGCTATAGAGAGTTTACTTTTAACTTATTAGCTAAGCTCAAATAAGTGATTTATTCTACTTCTAACTTCTATACAAAGTCTTAGCTCTCAAAACCTCTTTACTTTATATAAAATCCCCAAATTGTAGCAAAATCTCTTAAAATATATTTTTCATGTAAAGGATTTCTTCTTTCTAAAGTTTAAAAATTCATATCACTTGATCCAACTATTCAATTTCTTTCAAATTTCCAAATAGTGTAGTCCTTATGTTTAAGCTTTATTACAAAAAAAATAAACCATAAATTCACTACCAAACTTTTGACATCTTAGAAATCCTAGTAGACACTATAAATCCTAATCTACAAGCACCTACGTACTATTTTCTTTATATCTTGAAAATCCAAAACTTAAATGCCACAAAATTTAAGCATAAAGTTTAAAAATATGATTATATACATTTTAAGAAATTTTGAACCAAAATCTTATCAAATTGCTTAAGATATAATTTAAAACACAACGACTAGTGAATTAGGTCACTTACTACTCTTAGATTATAGTGCTGACTTCAAATTCTAATATCTCTTCTATCTTAACTTGGAATTCATCAAATAGTATTTAAAAAGTATAGCCAAAAAAGTTTTTTCTCTAAATCCGATTGCTGATCTCTTATTGCTTTTGGTACGCATATGTTATGTTTAAAAGAGTGATAGCAGGTACAAAAGCATTATCTTAACTTTGAATATCCATATTTTTTTTACATAAACTCCAAATTATATAAAATTTACACCAAATCCATAGCCAAAAACTTGAACTTTCTGATCCTAGCTTCTCACGTTCAAATGGCTTCCAAAGAATAATCCTAATTCCTAATAAGGCCTCGGACACTCTCTTTAAAGCCTATTGGGCATGGTTTTTGGTAAATAGGAATGGAAATAAAGTTGTGTAAATTCTAATAGTAATTCTTTTAAACAACCTCCTTTTAAAACTATAATCTAATTATATTTTATAATTAATTAAAATCTACTAATATGGCTCTTATCATATTACTTAATAAATTGCATATCAAACATATAAACACAATGTTTTTAAATGGTAGTTAAACTACACCATGACACCATGCTTACCTAAGGCTATGACTTAACACCTTTAGCCATAGGAGCATGCCATGAGCTGTTGTTGGCTACTATTAGCTGCAGAATTGCCTTTATTATTTTTGTTACAGTTTATATCAAATCATTATGCCACATTGCCAATGCTTTGTATTAAACTCCTTTGCAATAATATCCAAACACGTTGCAAGCTCTGCCTTGTTGCATAGTAGTAGTACTACCTCGAACTCGTCATGCAGTTCCAGTACCTCCTTGCCTTTTGATTTCACATTCCTTGATTGTGACTTGTGATTGCCCAACGCCGCAATCCGAGCTCTTCTTCTATGACCTTACCTTGATATACTCTATTTGGTGACTTTAGTTTCATCCCAACATCCTAATATCTCATTCCTATATCACGGAATATCTGGATGCAATATTGTAACCAACATCCAACGCCATTGTACTCCGCTCTAGTAATGCAATAATAGCCCAACAACTTTGGGACCCCAACTATACTCTCGATTGGATTTCAGCAAGCAGCAAAATAATGCCCAAAATTCAATAGCAAAATACAAACCACAAACCATTTTTTTTTTTTTTTTTTTTTTTTTAATCTACTTTATTCTAACTTCCTATACCACAACTTGAAGAGAAAGAGAGATTCTTGTCAAGTGAAAGATTAAAAATCTACACCAAACTAAATTAAGCTATCTCTCACACCACAAATGAGGAATCCTAGAATGCAAGTGTGAAAATAAGAGAAATCCTAAAGCTTTATTAAATGGCTCAAACACCATAGCTAAAGAAATCCTTACAAAAATATGTGATTCTTTAAAATCAAGCCAAATGCATGTTTACCATTATGATCAAAAATAATATTTTAAAGTTTATTCTATGTATAATTTCAAAATTGCATAATTATGTTACTAAAACAATCCTAAGTTTTGAATAAGTGATCTGAGATGTTTTGTAATATCAAATCTTGAATATATGTGTACATGTTTACTTGTTATATATATATATATATAGATAGATAGATAGATAGATATTCTTTTAATACTATTTACTTTATCAAGCATCAATTAGAAGTTATAAATGATGTATTTGAATGCTAACCTGGTTTTATAAAAAAATAAAATATAAAGTCTTCAAAATATTAGATTATCTAAAATGGTATGACTTATTTGTATATTTAATAACTTCAAATTCGCTTATTATATATTTATGTAAATAATAAAAAAGAAAGACAGTTGAATTTCATTTTTGCAGTTGTCTTTATATTAATTATTTTTAATAATGGCATGTCAGTTTTACTATTATAAATTTACAGTAAGAAACAATATGTGATTAACATATATTACAAGGATCTGGATACTTTTTCAAAAATGAAACTTTAATCAAATAGATACTTATGAACATGTAAAACTAAGATCCAAAAAAAATTAATAACTTGTTTTTTACCACATTATATACGTTTGATAAAATTTAGTAAAATTCTTCATCAGTTATTTAACTTGGAATTATTACAAAGAGATGACAAAGTAAGTTCTTCTATTAACCTTCAAACATGAACAGGGAGGGACCTTTAAGCCCTTGTGACAAGCTTCTCGGACATGGAGTGGTTATTCAAGTCATAGTGGGTCACCCACCCAACACAGAAAAGCAAGCAACCAAGCAAGCTCAAAGGGAATAATCATAAGAATATTCCAGAACCACACGCCGCCCCCTTCTCGGACGGGCATCTCCGTACCTCATCGACAATAACCGATTCGGTCCCGGAATCGTCGTGCGAGCATCTGGAATGGTCCCAACGAGCGGGCCCGTTCTCACTCAGAACCGGGAGTGGTCTCAGCCTAAGCGACCTTGTGGGGAAGTTGCATGCATGGATGATGGTGCCGCTGTCATGCGGCAAGTTTTCGGTGCCTTCTCGGCGTCGATGCGGGATCCTACATGTTCATGAAGACGTGAGCAGTGTGCTGTGTTGCGTTGGAGGAGGAAAGATGCTTCCGAAGCTGGTAACAAACGTGAGTCATGTGTCTGTAAAAAGCAACAAATAGACCACGTTGTTTTGAATCAACAAAGAACAAAGCTGGGTAGCGGGTGGATCCTGCTGCTGCCTTGCGCACCAATCCAGCTCTTTGAATTGGTGGGGCCTCAGTTAGCACAGTTCAAGAAGGTGGGCGGTGAGGAAGAGCTTCTGGATGGGGGCAGCAGGCGACAATGGATGCTGGTGCAACGGCCACATCGCCCACTAATCAAGTACTTTTTGGAGTTTGTTTGTGGGACGTAGACGCAGCTCTGTAGGGCCAAGTGAGACTTTGTAAAGCGGTGTACCAAAAAGCTCAAGGATTTTAGCTGCTGAAAACCTGGTAGTAGGCTTCATCAGCTTCCTGAGCTTGCGTTTCTGGATTGGAAAATTCCAGAAGAGTTACGTTGCCAGTTGGGAGCTTCTGGTTTCGAAGAGGCGGATGTCATGGTTGAGTTGAGTAGAAGGGGAGTCACGGAACACTTGGTTACAAGCAAGTACAAATGAAACATTTGCAAGAAGGGATGGATGCCAAGAAAGTGGCATCGGCAACAAAAACATTCTGATTTAAAATTTTGTTTTCGCGTAAAATTTGAGTTGGAAGGCTCTTTGTAGGCCATTGGAGGATGATTGTGTGGAAGATAACGCACAGCAGTTGTGAAAAAACTTCTATCAAGTTACAGGCTACAAGCATACCATGCAGTATCTTACTCATTCTTCAAGTTTTCCTGCTCCAGATGATAGATCTACAGTGTTAGATCCGCCCATCCGCAAATGGGTTATTAAGGAAATTGATGTGCGGGAAGCATGCTAAGTCTATTGATAGATCGGAAGCATGCTCAAAAGTCTCTCCAGCACCCAGTATAACTGAAATAAGGAGGCCGGTATTAGCCGGTACTGAGCTGCATTGCATCGCAGAAAACTGTTCCTTGCTGCCTAACTAAACAAGGTGGCGTGGACACGCTCGATGGATTAAGGGATCCAATCAAGGAACGGTGACCTTCTTGCTACGCTTGCTGGAGCTTTTGCTATGTAGAGAGCTACCATTGCGTTTGGCAGCCTGGTTCCTCGGCGTAGCCTGGCGACCACCCGACCCGCTTAATACCGCCTGCACGTATCGCTGCAACCTCCAGAGTGTTGCAGGGTCCTGGTTCTCACAAGATTAATCAATGTTATGTCTCAGTATGAAACATTGTTTGTCTTACAGAAAACTTGAGCAATAAACTAAGAAGAGGGAGGTGAATACATGCACTTGCGAGGAAAGAGAAACAAATGAGCAACGTACTTGGGCGTCGATATCTACTTCGACTTCGTCGGAGTTCATGTTGAACGAGGGGTTTTTCTGTGCAATGATTTGAATGACGTGACTCAAATTATCAGGCGGCAATCTCCCTAAGCTCTGCCCCAGATGCCTTCTTTCCTCTACAGACATTGCCCTGCTGCTAGATCAAAATTCTTTTGTCAGCACAAGCGTCAAGATTCCATAGCCTTCCAAGCAATCTCTGGTAAACCAGACTTCGTCAATGTATGCAATAAAGTTAACAATGACTAGCAAAGCCTTTTCGTAACCGTAAGGTTACAAAATACAAGAGACATTAACTACAAGCTTTGCATCACATATAAAAACCAACGGATTGAGGCTTTCAAATTTGATACCATGTTGTTCTGATATGGATATCACACAAAATTTAGAACATCTCTACAGTGTTTCTTCGCTTGAACACGTCCCTGATGTTTGATAATAGGTCTTTCATGTGGTTTGAATCAGGGCTTCACTGTTTACCAGGTGACATTGGTTTATGTATGAGCATAGAGAGCAAATAATATCTCTCAAAGCGCAATATTCATAAACGAAGCTCCAAGAGCTTATCAGTGGTTCATAACTACCAGTACTATGACATGGATCACAATTAACAAAAATAAACGACAAATAATTTGGAGAGCTGACCTCAACTTGGGAGTTGCTTGTTGCTTCAAATCTTCTAGCTGCTTATCAAGCTCCTCCAACTGTCATTCCATGGCTAGATTGTCAAAGTCTTGCATTTTGGTTAAAAGAATACCAAAATTTCTATTGACTCTAAATTCACCACGGTTCAGTATTCTCCTGTACCAATTCATGGTTATATTCATGACTCTAATGAGAATTGGAACATCAAAATAACCAATTCTTTCATGACAGTTCACTTACTCCTCTCATTAACATAGAGAAATACCAAAAGTGAGGGAAATTATTTTGAGCTCTTCACTTAATTACGTTATCTAGGAAATTTTAATCTCTCTTCCTCACTTAAGGAATCTCCAACCTATTTCCTCATGGACTCAAAATTTGAGATTTACATTCTTAATCCCATTCACCCTGGGTTCCTGACAAAACTCAATGCAAACTGTGGTTGTAACTTACCTGAAGTGCATATTGTTCAGTCAATTCTTCTGTATCTATCTCTTCCACGGCCTGGACTCCTGGTTCTTTCGTCCTTACTTCATTGTCTTCCTGCGATTTTTTCGACTCCTTTATAAGAGACATAAACGTTGTCATCAGCTCAGAAAAAATAAAGTCCCAAGGATTAAGAAAAATTCTCAGATTTTACATATGGTACACTCAACTCACTAATATCAATAACTAACTGAATCACAGACGTCCACATAAAAGTGTCTCCTAAGATATTTAGACTTATTAAGCAGGCAATGAATCCCTTGAGATCTCAGCTTGCTACGAAGAATGTACTCGCCATCAGGAAATGAAGGTCATGGTCAACAATTCCAGAAAAGATGTCCACCTCCTCGTGCAATTTCGGTTCTACAAGAGTCTTCCATTTCTCCTCAAATTTTTCTGACAGTGTTTTAGACATCACATATACGTCAGAACCCTCTGGATTGTATTTCATAGCATTTGAGAAGACCAGCCGCACGTCTTGATAGACTTCCTGAACATGCTGGTATCCCGAAGCATCTTTTGCATCCATTTTATTCTTTATCGTGCCCAGGTCCATTGGCTTTTCGATGACCTGTTCCAGAAAAGCTCCAAAGCCTTAGAAAGATAGATATAAAAATATTTGCTAATAAAAATTCAAAATTTGATAGGGTAGCTCATGCTGGCTATGCCGTGTAGCTGACAATGGCATGGTACATACTTCGTAATAGCGAGTGTTCGTCAAAAAATGTACATTTGAAAATAATATGATTCATGCCATAAACCCTGATGCAAACTTATATATATATATATTTTATGAGTTAAAATTAAGTACCTCATAATAGTCATGTAGACCCAAGCCCTTGACATCCACGGGCTTCATGAAAGGCCAAGCCCACTTATGCGAGGATATCTGAGGAATGTACGAAGTCATCGTCCCATCAGGTACTAAATCACACACCTCTATAGCTCTTTCTACGACGTCCAGCACCAAACCTAAAACTTTGACTTCGTTTCCAAAAATTACAAGAGTTTAAGATTGAATCATTAATGAAACTTCAGAGAGGATGACATACCAAACAACAAATACTAGGAGCATTTATTCATCCAGGAAAGTCCTATGCAAAGAGTTCAAGAATAAACCACAAAGTAAGAATAAGTAGGTTCTGGCATAAACGCTAAAATGCACCTGTCTCAAAATACTTAGAACCTGTCGCATTAGTTCTTGCATGCGCTTGCTTCGAGATACATCCCGTCTGCTTATATCTAGCATAGGCTGCTGCTTTCTAGTGAGAGTTCCTTTGTCACGGTCTTTCACAGCGGTACATAATTTCCCCTTGCTTTTGCGCTCAGCATTCCTCTTTTGAGTTACTTCAGCGACCTTCCTCTCCATCTGCAAAATTCCCATGAACATAGATTCGTTACATATCTCAAAAAACAAATATCATAAATATGAGCATAACGTTGTGAGGAAACCTTCGAAGCTTGTGCCTGTTTCAAATCAAACGATAGGTGGCCTAGTGTACAGAACTGAAGCACTTACCGCAGTTACTTGCGCTCTCCTATGAGATAATACAATTTCCTCCAAAATAATCAGGATATAAGCCAAACCTGAAGTTCTCTACATGAAATGTGTGACAATTCTTCTATCAAACAGACGATGAATTGAAGATGAAAAAAAAGGTAAAAAATGCAGACTACGACAAGTAAGTGGAGTACCTCTTCAACTTTAGCTGTCAGAACCTGAACTTGTTGCTTCAGAAGAATTCTTGCAACGTCTGAGATTTCTGGTACATCCTCATTAGCTCCAGCGAAACTGTCTCTGACCTGCCCGATTGCAGTTGGCAATGGCGGTCTGCCATCTTTAGCTCTTACACCTGTTACATGTCCCCACAACAAGATTAGATGTTACTTTTAGTGTGCACCCATATCCATAAAACCAAAATATTATTCTATCATTCCATTCTCTGGTCCTGCCCTCAAACTTCAGCAGACTACACCTTAATCCTCGAACAGGTGGAGTCCCACACTTGAGCCTAAGATGGAAGGTACCAGCTATAGCATGATCTCGGACAACGCCCAAACATGTTGCACTAATATGTCTTAAAGAAAGTTAAATTGTATACCTCGTCCTTCCTGTGCGAGTTGTGTGGCCTTCTCACCTTCGGCTCCAATTCGTGGTTTCATTTTCTTTCACTCTAGATATACAGAGTTACTTGATCCTGAAGCAAACAGTGGACTTACTGTAGTTACATGAACAAAACAGACGCGAGAATTCCCGCTAAGGAGTAGCTCCCATAATCCACATTCCTGAAAGTCTCACATCTTTGAAAATATCTTCATGAATCTAAAATGTTCAGATACAGATTCTCCATGATAGTGTCCAAAATGCAGTGAGTTAGATCACACTCGAAAAACGTGCTTTAACAATAGCATGTTAGAAGAGATCCCCAGTGCAACTCACCTTGTGGATGATGTCCTGCGATGGCAAAGAACATGAGACAGAGATGGTCTACATGCCGACGGTAATTCAGAATTTGGTCCCCAGGTTGGACACCCAAAATCTGCAATAAAATACCATATCGCGTCAGAAGTGTCCATTAATTCGCAGCGCCCACGGCTCGATCATGAAATTCTACGGACGCCCTTCACTGAGGTATGTTACCAAGACATGATAGGTTCCTGATACTTAAGCCCTAATTCTCAGAAACGGGTCCAGATTTGTCGACTAAACCTCGTTTTCACTTCATTTGGCTCGCTCGGAAAGCATATGGACAGACTTCCCGAAGCACGAATAGCGGCTATCGTAAGCCCTAATCTCATCCACCATCAATGTCCTCGAATCCAAAAAAAATACTTGGTCACAATCAGGAGAGGTTCAAACTCTGGTATGGACCTAGTCGAGAAAGCTTCAGAAGCAGAAAACCAAAAATCATTCTAGTTGGAGAATCCTAATTCTCATTTGTGTAACAAGACCTTCAAATAACTTGGCGATAAAGAATAGATGGATGGGCATGTGGTAAGGAAGAATTCGGTAGAGAGAAGAGGTTGAAATAAGAGAGCACCATGAAGAAAGCTGTCGGAGATATTCAAACCATACGCTCTCCTTTACACAGTAATCAATCTTGAGATCCTCATACCAAAAAAAAAATTGAAGGAAAAGACACGTACAGATGGCTGTCATTCCTCGCGCGACCTAGAGAAAGGGGTTAAGGCTGCTGAACTCAAATTATTAACTCCAACCTTCCAGCAATGTCCAGTATCTAGTAGCACAAACACCTGATACTTGACACTGAAGGTTGGAGAAACAGAACGACGCGAAGACAACTTCGTGTCGTGTAGGATACTTTCTTGGATGACCACAAAACTCTTTACTCTTCATGTGACTCATCCTGGGTCATATTGTCCACCTCTACAACCAAGACAGCATAGAGACATTATTTACTCAAGGCGAAAGGAAGCTTCGAGAAGATTGGAGGAATCCAACAAGCACCGCCTTGCTAAAAGAAAGCTCTGACAACAGTTGACTGTGAAGCAAGCCACTCAACACCCTATGATCACTGCAGAATGCACAGGGGGGGGGAGGTGTGAAGTTGGTGAGTGAATCGATTCATTACATCAAAATCCAGCACATGAGAAAATCCCACAGGTTACGTATCTCTAAATCCCGAAGCAGAAGCATGGGATGCAGTATCGTGTACATCTGCACAATTCTCTACAATCGAAAAAGGCCAAGCAAGAGGATCAAACTAAGTTGCGAGCCAACATTCAAAAGCAATCAAACCCAAAATTGAAAGCCAATTCTCAATTCAAACGGTTGGTCCTCGAGTTAAAAGTTTTGAGGGACTCATAACAACCCAAACATTGTAAAGCATGCAGGAAACATGAATGCACGAATTCTCCACAAAAATATTAACATGTAGGCAATTAACTTGAGCAAATGTACATCAACTCTTCTCGGAGCCTCCCGTCCGAAATTTAAGGATTTCCACTACCTGTTTGGATTTTTCTTGCTCAAGTGAGAACTCGCAACAATGTGGTGAAAATGTACGAGATCCCAGAGTCAGGTTTAGTGCACAATCAGATAGTCGGACAACCACCGGTATTGTCATGGATACAAATGACTCTCCAACGATTGCTATGGGAAAGGCAAATGACCTTTCCCATTTGAGGAGTCTGACATTGAGAATGGATCCTAAAGGAAGTGACTACTGCGTAAAGAAAAGAAAAAATTGCAGTACGAAAAATAATCAAGTGAAAAGATCGTTGAAGATCACTCCTGAACCCATCCAAACTGGGACTCAGTTGTAAGGCTCTTGCTGTGGGACCTTGAGAGCAGAGGAGAGACTCCTCATAGACGACTCACTGAGCATTCATTTCTTTGTGGGCAGAGTTGCGGCCCAAGATTTTCACAGTGAAATTAATAAATGCCCTAATTCAAAACTGGTGGACAATAACCCCTCAAATTCCAGGGAATTTATGCGGCATCGATCAGCGAAGACTGAAACCACCAATACAGTCATGACCAGGACTGAGGGTTGTGAAATTACTGCCGACAAAGAGGAGACAACACCTGTGTAAAGCAAGATAGTTGAAGAAGTGTAGGATCTGGTGACTAGAATCTCATAGCCAATACTGCGAAGTTCCAAGGCTCTTGAGCGACTGAAAAGCATGATAATCATGAGGAAGATTGCTTTTGCAGAATCGAATGTGTTCATCAAGTTTGAAAGGCGAGCGTAATACTGTAAACCTTGAATACGGGTTGGATGACAACAAATATAAAATTGGCACTTCTAAACGTATATAACAGTGGTGTATGTTGATGACCATAGAATCGGGGGACTTTCATCTGACGAATTCGATGTGTTCTAGCTGAGTACTCGAGCAATACCTGCGACGTGAGTTGCAAACACACTCCAAAGCATTTCAAAAGCAGTTTGCCGCCAATGCAATGAACGAATTGGTGCTAGACTGCGGAACTAATCCTTCACTGATGTAAGTCAACCCAAGGCCTAAACAAGACTTGCTTTTCGTCTGCCGCAAGAGGAATCAAATTCAACAACAGTCAGAAAGCCGGAACTTCACGGAGACCCAGTGAACAATAACAGTCACATACTGCAAATAATCTCCAGCTGTACATCTGGATACAACGCATTCATTACCTAAATCATTCATTAAACTGAGATTCGTACGTCGATTTACGATGGCAAATTTTCCTCTTCAAATCTGTGAAGATCGCCACCATTTTCATCAGCTATTTGTCAAACTTCTTGTGCTTCGAAGTGCGTGTAGGCGTGGTCAACATGTAATAGCTAGAGCTTCAGGACCGAGGCCTGCAACTTGCAAACGTACTCGTTGGCGATCATGTGGTCCCAGTCGTGATGGCGGTGCAATTTCGGATACGGATTCTGGACAATTTCCGACGCCTGCTGGATCTCAGCTCGCTTAGTTGCTGTTAGTTCTACAATTGCAGGTTGACATGGATGCAAGAAGTTTTCTCTGAAGGTCTAATTTCTGAGCCTCCATCTGACCTCAAGGTCATCCAAATCAGAGGAAAACGTACACTCTCCAAATGAGATGCAACATCGTAACCAGACTAAAGAAGAGCCTAAACACGCTGGATCAAAGTATGCGAGTGAGATTAGATTAGAGATCCATTGATCAAATGCTACACAATCACAGGTAGACATCTAAGTTGCAAAAATTTCCCGCTGTAAATTATCACTGCAAAACTCCCTAACAAGACGCCCCCCAGATAAGTAAGCGCATTGAAAATACAAGACCATCAGTAATCTCATTCTTTCACGTCTTCACCTCAAGTAATCCTAACTAGGTCGCATATGTCAACCTCTATCCAATTCATTAACACATCTATATCGAGCTCGAACACAATCTAGTCGAAAAGTTCCTATAGTAAACCTTCAATGCCTAGTTGTTCAATCCGCTACTAGCATAATTCTGATGTGTCTCATCTGATGCCATCAGGTCTCAACGGTACAAACTCCGTAACCATGGCTCGAGCTGAATTAACCCTTGAACGCAAGACCCTGTACCTCAAAGTGGAGCCAGTTAGAAATCGAGTCTTCATGAGATTTTGTAGATAGTACAAAAGTTGCAACTTGAGGAGGAAAAGTGTGCCTATATTTCAATATCGAATTCTATCTACTCGTTCAGCATGAACATGCTCCAGCTTTGCTATCCGCCTGTGCATTCGAAGTGGACTTGAGGTTCACATCGACCAAATCATCTTTGCTGGAAGATAATGCCTCCATCCCGGGCAGAGCTGCTGCGATTTTCCGAAAAAGGGCCTGCACGAAATTGACCAGGAAGTTCCTACACGCTTCAGGCAACTAATTTGATATAACTGCATGCAATAAACGTGGTTTTCCAATTGAAGAATTCTCATCAAATTGTATAGCAAACGCAGACCTATTTGAAGTCATGGAACTTATAGCAAATGCAGCTGAGAGGACATATTCACCTTGATGTTAAATCCAGCTTTAGAACTAGTTTCGATGAACATGACTCCAAATTCCTTTGCCTTGGCATCCCCTTCCTCTATTGAGACTTGCCTGTACATTTTCCAGCAATTATTATTCATAAGAACTCACATTGCGATAAATTCTCCTTTTAGCAGCCAAACCAGACTGGACTTGAAAGTTTCAAATGCACAGAGCAACATAACATGTTCGAAGAAAGATGGCGAGACGACACACTGGGGCACTCAGTGTCCAACAGAACATTTAATCCTACTGAATCCACCTAGGACATATGTTCATGAAGACGGATTATTTAGCACTCCGACAGGAAAAATTAAGCATGTTAATCTACTCACCTCTTATCAAGAAGATCAGTCTTATTGCCAACTAGCATAATAATAACATCACTCCCACGCTCCGTTCGTACTTCTTCCACCCAACGAGCTGTATTCAGGAATGATTGCCGATCTGTTGCAAAAACAAATAGTGAAAACATGCACCTTCGTTGAGCAGCTTGAAGACAACAATAGTCTTTCTTTCAGAAATAGCCATTTTGAAGCAGCTGTCCTATACTTATTTATCTAAGTTACACACGGCATTACAGTCCCAAATTCAACACTTAGTACTGAAACATGCAATTGCAAACATCATTCCATGTAAACCAAGCAAGAAACCAATGTATTTTATCCCGTGTCTGGTTCTAATGCACAAGATCTCTACCAGCAACAACAAATAATTAAATAATCAAAATAAAATTGCGTTTAACATCAATTCTTGGCGATTAAAATAAGATGTAAGACTCACTTGACACGTCATAAACGACCACTGCGACTGATGAATCACGGATATAGCTAGGAATTAGACTTCGAAACCTTTCTTGCCCTGCAGTATCCCTACAACAGTTCAGCAGGGGAAGCAACGTCAATTGGTCTGCCAGAGGAGACAAACCAGTAGGTAAAGTTCATCTCTGCTGCCCCCAAACAGAAAAATTGTTGCTCGTCAGTAACTGAATAGAAGATGCACATCAAAATGCAAACCTAGGTCATTTCGTCTGCATTAATACGATGATTGGAAGAGCAAAAGTTAATATAGAGAAGAGAAGTCTGCCAAGCAACGTGATACTATACGAAAAATATAGGAAAGGAAACGCAAGCTACCAGAGCTGTAGGCGTACAGTGCGATCCTCTAGGTACATCGTCTTTGAAAGAAAGTCGATGCCGATGGTTGCCTGCATATTTCACATTTGGTTATAACAGAATCACCCAAAAATTCTGAATTTTCATGAAATTGAGCAACATCCTTAAACAACCACGTGACCAAATGAAGTATCCACAGGTTGATACTAGAGCTTCAAGTTTCAACGACTGAGGTGCAATTTGGCACGGTTCAGAACAGTACTTGAAGGAAATTGTAAGGTCAGAATAGTGCCAGGTGTAGTTGCTTCCCATTGCCAAAAAGATGAGTTAAGAAAATAAGACTTAAGAGCAATTTTTTGAAAAGCAAAACTAAACAGTTGACGAGAATCAGAAAAGGGGAAAGTGCGACGTTTAGAGAGGACTATAGCACCAAAAAACATAGAAATATTATTGGGATTCTGAGACAAAAACAGAATCCATGTGAAGTCCATAGGAAAGGAGGGATCGATGACGCACTAGAAGCGGGGAGTGTTATAGACAGTGAAAAAAGTTTAAGAAGAGAGCGCATATCCTTTCTATGCGAAGACTCAGTCACGAGTTGTAGCGAAAATGCACACTACGAAGAAAGAGAGTGCTGACCAAAACCCTGCAATCCGCGCAGTGGGAGAACATGCAATGTACGGCACAAACAAACGACGGCATTGCTTACATTACCTGGTACGTGTTGTCAAACTTGTCATACATGAAACGTGTGATGACACTCGTCTTGCCCACGGACTGAATCAACCATTGGCATCCCACATAAACCTATCAGAAAGAGAGGCTCAACTCCAAAAAAAAGTTTAAAAAACCTTAACAATGTGAGTGATGATCTCGGCAAAAGGAGCAGGAGGCACACCTGATCACCGAGGAACACCAGTTTATACTTTGCCAACGGCGATACTGTGGTGGATTGTCCGCTCATCCCCAAGGAACCCATCTGTCCCTGTTCTTTCAGAGATCCGTCACTTCAAGGTTCGCCTTCTGTGTTCTCTTGGTTGCGAAATCACAACCAACCCCTCTGAATCCTACAGAACTCCTTCTCTACCACCTCGTGCCCACATCCTCCAAAATCCAACAAGCAAGCCTCCAACCTCTGGAAGTATCCACCTCACCCTGACACAGAGCAAACTCCGGTCACTTGTCCCGTTCTGACCACAGATCCAAACACATTCCCCGCCTCAAAACATCCACAAACCTCATTCGCAAGTCAGAACCCGATTTCTGAAAAGCACATCCAATTATAATTACCTCCGATTCAAGACCTCATGCACCCAATACCCCTCTCGTAAACCCTGGTCTCACCTACAAGTGAGGAAAAAATTGCAATGCTTCTAATAGGCATTAAATTTATCAGACACGCTGAACATCTGAGAATGAGTAAAAACAAAATGTGCACCCAAGCGATGAATCGTCGACTCAACGATCTGGTAGATGAAGAGGACAAAGCCAAACGACGCGAGCCATCTCACTTCTTATCCAACCTTCTCTTTTCCGTCCCTTAGCTACGAATTTCTTTTCCCGATTCCTTCCATCAATCTATTTCCATTCTTTCAACTTCTCCCCCCCATGTGCCGAGTTGATGACGTCCATTACCGCACGATTTAAGCCATGCAGTGGCATGTCACGATTTTTACTAGGTTTTTGTCTGGCTATAGTAGGATTTTTGTCTGGACATGACGACGTTGACGCAGTTGATTACCATTTAGGCTTCCGGAACTGGAAAGAGCCCACGTTTGGATTCCGCAGACATTGGATTCTGAAACCCGATCCGAAATATATTCCCTCTCATGCCCAACAAAATGTGCGCGTTGTCTGGGGAGACTCCAAATCGCGTAAAAAACTGATCAGCAAGTATCTACTGAACTCGCCTAACCCTCGATCGAAAGACTTTCGGGATTGTTGTCTTGATGCACAGAACTGAAATAATGTCGAGACTCAGCTCAGTTATGGTCCCTCACATCTCGCATTTCTCATTCACCTCCAAGCATGAAGTTGAAAGAATGAACAAATGAAGCACCAGAAATCCAAACTCGGAGACAACCAAAAGTATTGCAAAGAGATGGGAATCTGACAGAGGAAGCTGAAAGTCGTCATTTCCCTTCGTCCGCTGGGGACATGGTACAAAATCATGTGTATCAACATAGGATACAAGTACAGATGTATGCCTGTCACTGAATCGCAGTCAGGCTTCACCATCTAAGAAAGTCGTCAATAATGGTCGACATCGTCAAAATTGTTTGCTCGAGCACAGATTAGTACGGGGAGAGTCACCGCATCTAGTGCATTCGGTCTAGTGATTAAGTTCTAATTGCAATAGCATGTTGGTCTCTGTTAGTACACTAGACTACTGAGTAGGTAAGCTATCAATTTGTGTTCTCTGGATATCAATGTATGTATAATGGGGGCTGCGTCGCCACCCTAAATCCTGAGAGTCGGAGACCTAACGGGGACAAGAGCTCATATCACAGCAGCAGATGGATTCGATCAGTCCACCCAAGTGGCGCCTACCATCTTAGCAAAGAACGTATAGGCATCTGTCACTTCGTCGATCTGAAACGCAACAATAGAGAATTGAGCATTGATTCGTAGTTGAGTTGATATCACAAGGTCACAAAGTCCTCGGAAGCTGTTCCATTACAGGCTTGGAAACAACTAAACTCAAATGACTTCTATTGCCTCCTCCCTGATCGGAATATGATTGAATACCACTCACCATTTTCTGAGTAGGTCGGCCAGCTCCATGTCCAGCTTTTCTATCTATACGTGCAATGATAGGGTTCGTTTGATATAGTTTCGTCGAGCTTGTGCAAAGTGTATACTGCAGAGTCTGCACGCCAGTTGTCACCCACAGGAAAATCACCATCGTATCAGTAAGAAACGGAACTTATTTTATTCTCCTGAGTCTACAATGTTCAAGTGGTAGTTTGAATCCAATTGTTACAAGTGAATGTGCAGATTCGCTAAGCAGTATTTGGAGACAAGTACCGCAAGTAGCTTCAGAGAGTGGAGGGGAACCACTCTGTCGTCATGGTCGGCAGTCAATAGTAAGATCGGTGGATATTGAACCCCTTTCAGCTTCTCCCAAGGTCTCCAAACGTTGTGAATCGGAGAGTATCTGTAGATAGCAAAGTTAGATCGAAGCCACAAGGGTGTACGTAAGTAGGATCTTTTCAATCCATGCCACAACGTACTGTGCGTGAAGTAAATTGACTATTCTCGGAGTGAATGAGCTGTACTTGATCAAATTGTAGAAATCCTCCTCTACGTCCGAGCAACCATAATCGGAAATCCAAGCGTGTCCTGCAGATAGCCAACAGTCTCATTTCATTAGAAAGGTGTCAACAGTGATTCTCAGATCAGCCAGGAATTGAATAGTGCGTTAAGCATTTCTCTGAAAAATACGATAACGAGTTGTTGGAAATTACCAATTGTGAATTTATGAAAGCGGAGCATGTCCATGACGCCAACGTGAGCCAAGGCGCAGCCGAAGAGTTCAGGCCTCTGATTGATGCAGGCTGCCACGAGTAGACCTCCATTGCTGCCACCTTCAATGCACAGCTTGTTGGATTGGGTGTAGCCCTCCTCAATCAAGTACTCGGCACACGAAATGAAATCGTCGAAGCAGTTTTGTTTATCGCGAAGAGAGCCAGCCTTGTGCCATTCCTCCCCGTATTCGCCACCCCCACGAATATTGGCCACTGCTAACACAGCACCATAGTGCCGGGCAAGGACAAGACGCGACACGCTGAAGCTGGGGGTGAGGCTGATGTTGAAGCCGCCATAGCCATAGAGCAGGGCAGGGTGGTTTCCATCTTGGACCAGCCCCTTCTCGGAGATGATGAACATGGGGATTCTGGCGGCTTTATCCTTGCTAGTGACGAACACCTGCTTCGTCTCAAACCGGCTGCGATCAAAGATTTGCGACCCAACCTCGTGCAGGACGCGCACTTCGGGATTAGGGGTACTCAAATCGCACCGGTAGACGGTACCTGGAATCAGAAAACTGGTGAAATTGATAAAAATTTCGCAGTCCTCGCGTCGTCCCGAGGTATCCGTAACGCTGCCGATCTCAAGCGGGAGGCGCCACTGGAATGCGCCAGTGTACAGGTCGTGGATTTGAAGCAAGTGCTTCACATCCTGCATGTAGCAGACGAGCAGCTGGTTCTTGTTTACACAAGTCACGCTAGTGAGGACGTCCGACTGTGACTCGAGGATCACGTCCGACCACACCTCAGGGTTGTTAAAATCAACCCGCGACACTTTATATCTTGGTGCATTTTTGTTCGTGAGGAACGTAAACACTGGTCCGTCGTTCGCCACGTACTGGTACTGGGCTTCGAGGTTGTCGATTAATTTGGTGAAGGACAGCATAGAATTCGAGTCTTTCAACAAGACCAAATCCTTGGTGAGCGTTGAAACGTCGTAGTAGTAGAGCCTATTCACGGGGTCGCATCCTTCGCGGATAGACAGCAACAAGTACTGTGGGATACAAAGCAAACGCGCGTCATGGATATGCAAGGATTTGCAAAGAAACCTACACTATGCTTGATTCAGCAACTCCGAGGTCAGTGTTGGCAGTGGCAAACTCCTACCTGGCCATCGCCGGAAATTATGGCTGAGGACTGCCACGCCGGGTGCTCCAAGTCCCACCAGCACAAAATGTCTTCCGATTGATCAGTGCCCAGGTAATGGTAGTACAATCCCTGGAACAAATTGATGTCGGTCTCGGTGCCCACGTCTGTGCCTTCCATGTTCCTGAAATCACAGAATTTTCATTAAGCTTCGTCGAAATTCCTAAATTTCGAAGAGAAAAGCGAAAATACCATATCAAGAACTAAAAATATAAAAAGACGTCGAAGAATGGGAAATGAAAGATACTTAGGCTGCGGGTAGCGATTGTAGAAGAAGCCTTTATGGTCGTGGGTCCAAGCTATGGACGTAAATTTGACCCATGAGAGGGTGTCAGGTAGCACAACGCGACCCTCCACGCGCATTACTCGGATGGTGATCCAATCGCTCCCGCTGGAGCTCAACCCGTAGGCTAGAAATTCAGCATTCTCGCTAAACCTCTTAATTGCGAGCGCCACCGTGCCGTCGTCGCTCAACGTGTTCGGGTCTAGCAATACCTCCGCCTCTCCGTCCACTGAGTCCTGTGAAGCCGCATCCAAAATCCTCGAACTCAGACTGAAATCTAGACTTAAATATCACAGGCGGCCTATTCCATTACGAATCATCACACAGCGGCGGCGAGACGGAAAACTGGGGGGCTGTACCTGAATGTACAAAATGTTCTGAGACTGCAATCCCGGGTTGTGCCTGAAGAAGAAATGCTTGCCGTGTCTGTAAGGGCAGCCATAGCGAGGATAATTGTACAGAGACGTGACTTTCTTCTTCAATATCTCCCGGTTATCACAGTTCGCGAGCACGGTGTTAGTCAGCTCTACTTGCTGGGCAACAAACTCTTTTGTTTCGGGTGCATCGGGGTCTTCCAACCTGCACACCGCAGTAGCAATACAGTGAGGCCATAAGAGCAAGGGTATAATCAATCGGGAGCTTGTGGAGAGTGACTGTGATGAGAGGAATTTACCAGCGGTAATGATCGACAATTTCGACTCCGTGGTAGACGTCAACGGATTCATAACGGCGAGCTCTGGGGTATGGGAGCTGGGAAAATTCCAGGTCCATGTTGGATAAGGGAGATCCCACAGACCCCATGGCGGCGGAGATCGCCTGGCGTACTGCTGCTGATCCTCCTCCTCCTCCTTCTCTAAGGAACGGCTGCATATGAGTACGCTGAGGCACTGGGAACAGCCCTTGCGACAGATTTTGATTGGAACCGACAGTGCGGCTTGAGCTACTACGCTCGCATCCAGAGGAGAACAGCCTGCATCGTCAAATTCCACGGTTCCAATGGATGTCAACATTTGAAACCGCTCATCACCAACCGTAAATCTTTGTCCTCGGCGGTGAGGCTAGATAGCTAGTTTTGCACTGGATACTTCCCGATAGAATGCATTCAAACAACGTCGTTCAATCAGTTATTTCCATGGAGCTAGAAATTGTGAGCTTTAAGAGAGAACGGAACTAAAACGAAATTAAGGCGTCAGGACAGGAGCATTGACGTGCTCGTATGAACTAAAATCTCACAGTAAACAGCAACCGATTCACCTTGCACTCCCAGCACCGTATCCAAACGTCGAAGGGGAATAGACGCAACTGAAATCACCCAAAAATCTTCATCCCGAGTCTACCATTACAAAGAAGACGAGCTAATTCAGGAATGGGGCTCATTGACACCTCGTTGTAATCGGTGAAGAATAGATTGATTCATTGTATACCACCGCATGTCCGCCTCAATATGTCGCAGGGATAAGCTACGAGATCTACACACAATTGTGAGAATATTAATGAACCAAGTCCGCAGTCGAACGACGTTGCTACATTACTCCCTGTCCAGCTCCGGCTCATGGCAACTCCCATTACACGTTTACGAACTTTGCGCGTTGCGCAGCTAACTTCGGGGAAATAACTGTTGCTTTCTTGCTTTACAACCAACAAGAAAGAATGATTCCTGGCACCCATCATTCATTCTTTCTACTTTTCACTTTCTCGTTTACATCAGAATATCTCGGCGTCACTCAAGCGAAGTAGTTAAGCTCACAAGCCAACCAACGCTCGTCATCCAGAAGCGGCCAAAACTCTGCAGCTCCGGCAATATCATCAAACGCCGCTTCTCTGTTCACCTCAACTAGAGAACCACGAGTGAGGTAGCAACCACCTCCTACACCTAGCACCACGTAAGAGTTTGTTCGAGGGAATTTAATAACAACCACGGGGGACATCGCGTCACAAACATGCGCACAAAGCACGTACAGGGGGAGAGGGGAATCAACCACTCTACCGCCACTATATCCTTACAAAAGGCGATACAACAGAAAGGAATAATGTGGTTCATGTACGGTGCAGCATTGCCGTGCCCGCCGTCCAGTTGAATTAGGCACCACAGGTGCGTTCAAGCCCCAAAAGGGAGAGTTTCACATCAGAAAGCTCATTCTGAGGAATATGCTTTTGTAACAGTCAGGCAATGCACTGCATTACAGTGTGTGTGTGTGTGTGTGTGTGTGTGTGTCTGTCTGTGTATGTATGTGTCTCGCTGAGGGTGGGTGTGGGCCTCGACACCCTGCAGCACAGCACGATGCCACCCGAGCAAAAAGCCACCACACCCCAGCCTTGAATCCCACCCACCCACTCACTCACTAACTCACCCATCCACCGCCCCCACTGCTTGCTTGCTTCCAATGTTGTTGTAGTAGTTGTTGCTGCTCATACTACTGCCACTGTTGCTGCAATTGCTCAGGTTTTCCCCTCCTCATTCTCCTTCTTCTCCTCCTCCTCCTTTCCCATGTAATAAAACTGAGAAGGAGTGCGAATCCTTTACTCTCCCCTCTTTCTTCACTTCTTCACTTCTTCACTTCCACGCTGCGGCTCGGCGTAATCCACTCTTCATTAGCGATCTTCGTGACCGTTCGCCACCTCCTGTTCGCATCTCGTTCCTTGGCACTGAGAACTATGGGAACATGCCCTGCCATTGAGAACCGACATTGCCCTTTCTGTCTCCCGTCTTCTCTTTCTCTCTCTTTCTCTTTCTACCTTTGTTTGTCCTTTTGTCTGTTTGTCGAGCTTTCTTCCTATGTTCCGTGCTTTCTTTGTTCCTTTTCATTTCCGTAAAGAACTGCTAATGTGCTGATGGGGGGTTGTACGTGACAACATGAGGCTTTTGCCGATACTGTACGAAATTATGGTTAACAAGATATTGTGGAGATATTTGACATTAAACAGAGGGTTGAAATATTGTTGGAAGAGAATACCCTTATGCTCTATGAATTTAGCATGAATCTATGAAATATTATTTAAAAAGATAATGTTATTTCTGTTTTTTTTTTAAAAAAAAAGCAAGTACAAGTGTGAACCATTTTACACTAAAAACCAAAAAGAAGTTGAGGAGGATATAAATTTTATCTTATTAATTGTGTGAGAGAATAAAATAATACAATTGTCTGACATTGTCATGGAGATATTCTACTGATAGTTCATGAAGTATTTTCTTTATTATTATTTGTAGGAGTATAATAATTCCATCATTAATGATATTTATTGGTCAATATCATTATTGTCCAGTAGATTGTATATAAATCATTTAAGTTAACAGGGGAATAACTTAGAAAATAATGAACAGATATATATGTATATATATATATATATATATATATGTGTGTGTGTGTGTGTGTGTATTATTTTTATAACACCAGTATAAATGTGTCATAAATTGTATTATGATCTACTCAAAGACATGTGCAATTTTATTTCCACAAGCGTTTCAGTAATCATCTCGTGAGATTCTCCTTGTTGACAAATACAAAATAGACATTGGTGATATTTGATTTGATGCCCGATTTTCTATGATGTTTGTGTTATTTTTCCAACATTTAGGAACAATTAGATTGCATTGCAAATAGCTAAAATACTAACATACGGATTTCATGTAAATTTTGATTCGTCCTGTAGCTTATGGCCTACACTACACACACATGTAATTCTAAATATTTATAGTGGACCTTTAAAAAAACAAATTTAAGTTTAAATTTAATACTATTGTTACAAGATTGGTGTACCAAAGCCTGCATAACAAATAAAACTCCATTTATTATCTCTAGCACAGCCAAGTAAAAAAAAACTAATTAATGATGCGGCAGATATTCAGCACTATTTCTAAAGCCCAACCCCCTTTTCTCCCCTATTTGAAATGGAAAAAAAAATGGGGGAGAAGCCTGGAAATCCAACAACCCTGCCCACAAAAAGACTCGCTTTCCAAACCCACTTTTTCCTTCTCCACCGATTTCTACAAGTTGAGAGGTCGCCAATACAGGAGGCAATGCAAGAATATTGAAATAAATCAGTAAATTAATAAAACAAATGTATAATTAAGAAGCATCCCAGCCACAAGGGAAAAGTGTCTAGTAGTCACCCTCACAGACACAACTTACGAGCTTCTCCTCAAAAGCACAACCTTTCCTTCACTACCTCCTCTTCCTAAAATAGAACCAACAAACAACATTCTTCACCATCTTTAGGAGACATGATGATGAGTATCATAAATTACATGAAACTATTTAAAGTGGATGGACGAATTGTATTAATGAGGGACACCGTCATGAATCATTCATCCATGAGCAAGAATTGAATTCTATTTTCATGGCCATGATGAGAAATCATATTTTTTCTAAATTAAGATATAACTGTAGGTTGTGCATAAATTTCAACACGTGTCTAAGCCCTACTAGTGGATTCTTATTAAAGCGCTCATAATATTAATTACGATCACAATTAGCACGGAAAACTTAATGCCAAGCCTGAAGATTGTCAAGCGTTGTTGTCCTCTCACTAGTGCGCACCCATCCATCCACTAACCGACATTCATCCGCATAGAGCGGGGTCTGTCAGAAAAGGTCCTACCTAGCAGGGCTGTGGGAGGGGGAGGAGGTGACGGGAAAGGAAGTAAAGCGGGGCCTGTGGGGCGTCAGAGCTGTAAAGCCGTGAACCCTGCAAACGCAGAATCTCCATCATCATCTTCATGCGCATAGTCATGATGATGATGATGGTGGGGTGATGATGATGGTGCATCCCCCCCTTCCACCACCTCTCCCTCTTATGATGACGCCCTCTGCCACGACGACAAGGTCGAGGATCTCGGGCAGCTCGGGCACGCCACAATAGATCCTGCAAAAAAGCCTGCACTACCCCGTCCCGCCCCGCCTCGTCCCGGCCCGGCCCGGCTCACCCCAGACCTTTCCCTTCCCCCGTCTTTAAAAGTGATGGGTTGTTCCCATTCCCGAATTAGGGTTTTTTCGTTCTGCCACCAATGGGCTGGTGTTATAGGGTGCCTGTAAAGGAAAGGGTAAAATTACCACCCACGCAGTTTACGACAAAGTAAGTTACCCCCCTTGGGAGTTACTAGTCAACCCCTGGGTGAAAATTTCGGACCTAAATTAGTAATGGGTAGATTAAGCTCGTGGGTGTTGTTGTTATAATGATAATAATAGTAATATATTTGTTTATTAACGTTGTGTTTATTGTTTTTGGAATGATTTTTTTGTTGCTTTTTTTTTTCTTTCTGTTACCTGCTTTGTCAATTAAAAGTTGGGGGACAAGTGCCTCCAAATTCGAGCTTTCTTTTCCTCTATTTTCATCGTGATTGTCATGGATCTCAACATGGGGTGTGGATAAAGCACCAGGTTGAGGACTTTTTTTCTTTGGTTCATTGGTTAAATTATTCTGCACTTGAAATTATTTGAGTCCATGATCTCTACAGTTAATGCATGATTTTTGTTGCTTTGAGAAATAGATTCCTTGGTTGGTTATATAAAACATTCCAACTTTCAGCAAATATTCATTTCTTAAGTGTTTGGCTTTCTATGAGTGTATTTTATTCTTTATTGTGGGCCATATTCAAAATGACAGACTTGTTACACTTTTTGTTGCATTGGTCACTAAGATCTATAGACTTACAAAACAAACAAAAGAAGAAGAAGAAAAAGACCAAAATGTCATATCTTATGAAATAGAAAGATACTAGAATGGCTATTGTTAAGAGTGAAGTAGTAGAGAATCTTTATTTGAGACTAGAATATAAAAATGATGTTAATGAGTCTAAAGATGATTCTTGTCTTGCCTCCATACATACTAGTTAATAAGAAGTTACACATTTTTTTTTTTTTTTTTTTTTTTTTTTTTTTAATGTATATAGACCAAGTGTTTAATTTGTACAACATTTCCAGTTGTATAGAAATTTAAAGATTTGTAGTTAAATTTTTGTAGACACATTGCATACCAATAAATCCAATTAGTGTCTAAAAATTATTATTAATGTATTTTAAAGGAATATTATCTATGTAATCTATTTCTATATACTTGTAATTATTTTTATTAATTTGATATATAAGTAAATAATTTTATTTTTATAATTTAAAGAAATTTTATTTTAAATAAAATATATCTAGTTTACTTCATTATATTAATATGACGTGGAACCTTAAAATTGGCAAGTCAAAATTCTTAATATATAGACAACATAAAAAAACATCAAGACCTTAACAAATAGATAAATTCAAATAGATATTGATTGAATCAATTAAATAAAAATAATTTAATAGAATTGGCTTAATTTGGAGATTTTAACCAATAGAATTTAAAAAATAAAGAGTAAATTGGAGATATTCAACTAAATAAGAAATTAATCAATAGAACTTGTATAATAGAAGGTATATTGGAGATAACTAACTTAAGTAATAATTAAATATCCTAACTTATGAACTAAAACAAAGTTAGTTAAGAAAGTATGTATGTGCTAACTACAAGATGACTAACTATCAATGATTAATTAAAGTAGTATAAGCAACTACCAAAGCTAACAATAATATAAATATAATATTAAATATATAATATAAAGCCAAATTAATATTTTTTTGTCTATATATATGTATGTATGTATATGTAAGTCCCTCTTTGTCATAGAAATATATATTTATTCTAATATTTATTGATATGAATAAATAGAAGTAAGTAAAAGTAAATTTATTTCATAATGTTTTTTTAGAGATTCTTCTTAAAAGCTTCATAGATACTACTATTACTTTACATGTGTTTGTAGTTGATCGATAGGTTAAAAACATGATTAACAAGTTAACGACATATTAATAGCTTATGAAAGAAGCTAACTATATGGCGCACATATAGAAAACTTGCCTTGTAAGTTAAGATATATATCTTACAAAGTCAGCACGTTTTAGAGATCTTGTAGAATATTGCCACATAGCTCCTAATTAAGAATATATATGGAAGCAAGAGTGAAGCCTTTTTCACTCTTGTCAACGCCTTTCTAGTCCTTAATCTTATCTCAAGTCTTTCTAAGTCTTCTTATCTTAGGCAATAGCCATTTTAATTTAATACTATATCATTTTTGAATGATTTTTTAGTCTTTTCAAGTGATACAAGAGTATATTGATATTTTAATTCATTGAGGTTCATGTCCTTGATAGTTTGACGAGAATGCTAATATATTATTTTTATCTTGTTTTAGAAGTGAGTGAATTATTTCATGTCTATTGTTGTGTTTTGAAGGTTGTGGATTATCCACCTTTAAATAAATTTTTTAGTTT